AATGTGAGTTGAATAGTGTCTCCCTGAAATTTGGACATTAAATACATAACTGTCTGTAGCTTGGATGTGCTCTTATATGGAAATAGGGTTGTTGCAGATGGAATAATTTAAGCTTTGATTGGAGTAAACCTGTCTTCTGATCACTGTACTTAGGGGAAATTTGGACTCAGGTATGTACACAGGAAGAATGCCAAGAAACTTCCACAAGCTAGGACAGGAGACTGAAACAGAGCTTTCTCTAGTGCTTTCAGAGGGAACACGGCACAGCCAGTATCTTTGCCTTAGACTTTGATGCTCCAGAGTGGTGAGGTGCTACAGGTAGTCTTCATTCCATGACCTACCGGTTCAATGACTGCAAGGATTTATGATCTGTTTCTTGGACTTACGACCTGTCTTTTTCTTTTACAGTATTGTACATCTTCTTCTTAGAGCCTCAATGTCTTTTTTTCATATATTTGTTTATGCAGTACTATAACTTTTGGTGATTGTACTATACTGTACTGCAGTTTTATGTTTTGCTATACATTACAGTGCTACATGTAAGAGTTATACAAATAAAACAAACTTGGTGCTTCCTTTGACCATTTCTTTGTTCTGAATATTGTGATGTACATGCTATGTACAATTTTCCACTTAGCAACCAATTGATTTAACTATCTGATATCAGGAACTGAACTGGGTAGTTAAATGAGAAACGTCTGTAAATTTCTGTTGAATAACTCACCTTATAGTAGTTTTTACAGTAGTACTAGCAAATTAGTACAAACACCCAATGCAAAAAGTTAATTTATTTTTCAGTCTTAGTAGTTACATCAGATAAAAATTCAAAGTTAAATAATGCTGTATACCATTTCTTGGTATGTAGTCTTAGTTAAATTTCTCAATTATATAAAAATTGCATTATATTGAATGGGCTCTATCTTCACTTTTCCTGTTCAACTATCATAGAACTTGCTCTAAAACATATCAAAATAGTATATATAGCCTTTAACAAACATTAAGGATATCTAATCTTTTGGTTGCTTAATTCACCCTTTGCTTTTTGAATAAGAAAAAATTATTTTATTCAAATATTACCTCTCTTTCTGAGAAACAAGAAGGATGACTCCCAGCTCAGCACTTTGAGACAGACTCCTTTGTCTGAGAATCAACCATGGTAACCTTTCTGTTTCCTGTGGTTGGTTTAGAAATGTACAAAATACAGTTTTGACCAATAAGACCTGAGAAGAATTCTAATGGGGGATTTCTGAGGCGAGTTTTTTGTTCTCAAGAAAGAGATACGAAAGAGAAAGTTCCCCCTTCCTTCCCTACTGAAGCTAGCTTTCTTACCATATGCCTTTCAGAAAAGTTACAGAGAGTGAGAGGCTGAGTTCTTGATAAAGTGGAGAGGTTGTAGGTGAAGATTGATGTCAAATTTTAAATATCTTTATTATTTAAACTAGTTTGGTTCATTTTTTTTTTGTCATCCAAAGCATATGAACTAGTATATAACTGCTCTTTCTAACTAATAACTTCTAAAAATTTGGTTGAATTTTTTGATCAGTAGCAGAATCTATAAGAACTCTGTTTCAAGTATGCCACTTTCTTTTGTGCTTTAAGCATGTCTTAACTTGATGTAATATCAATCACTAATTAATGCACAGTGTGTGCTGTGAGTGGATTACACAGTAATGAGACAGCAACTCTTTCCACCCTTGGGATGTCTGGAAACCTCATGGTAGTCTTTCTTGTTTTGACATAAAGCAGCTTCCTTCATCTATGCCAGATGACTGATCAAATAAGGTCTTAAAATGTGTGCAATCAATGTATTGTTTATTGCTTATTTCAAGACAACTAAAAGTCTATTTAATAGGGATACATCAGGGCCAGCCTGACAGCTCAGCCTGCTTAGGCAGGTTCAGGGACGGGGGTTCCATGTAGTGTCACCTGGCCCTGCCCCTGGGGCATGCTGAGAAGGCAATTGAGACTAGACATGTTGGCATGAGCCTGTAATCCCAGCATTTGGGAGGCTGAAAACAGGAGGATTACTACAAGTCCCATCTATGTAGTGAGACCCTGTAGACCCTGTACTAAAAATAAAATTTTTTTAAAAATCCCTAAAATCTAATAAGGATAAATTCCAATAAATTCCAATCTGATATAGACTACCAGTTAAATAGTTAATGGACTAGCTTTTTGATAGCTGGCTATTAGTTATATTTCCATTTAATTCCAATTCCTTTTACAGAGTGTTGTTATTGACCTTAACTTCCAGTGCAGAGAGGAGGCAACAGTAACCCCCAGAACACTGATTTAGAACAGGGATGGCCTGAGTTCGGACCTTCCCTGGATTGTGAGTCAGTTGTTCACCATCTACCTTTTCCAGAAAGCATGCCTATCTCTTATCTATTAAATGTGGTCTTGGATCCACTGATCTATGGCTGACCAAGTGCTTTGTTTTAACTGGAAAAAATTCATATATTTATTTCATTTGTTGTCTTTTTATTTCTTAAATTTTAGTTTTAAACTGGAGCATTTATTTAGACAAAAATATGAGAATTTTAATTTCAGATGAAAAACTTACCAGGATTTTAAGGTGTAATTATTTTCCTTAAATACAGTTTGGAGTGTACAGAGTGATAATACATTACATGATATATAATGATCAGATCAGGGTAGTTGCTATTTTTATCTGCTTAAACTGAAAAAAAAATAACATTTAACGATTATATATGAGGTACAATATTTTAATATATGAAGAAGTGATCAAATCAAAGTAACTAATATTTTCATCCATTTACTATTTTGGAGCCTCCTACCTCGCCTCTTCTAGTTTTTCATAAAATATATAATAGGTTATTGTGGACTCTAGTCAACCTTCAATAGAAGTTGAACTAAGTAGCTCTATCTCATATCTCATCTGCCTTGGTACCCATCAGCCAACTTCCTTCTCTTTCCCTTCTGCTCTTCTTGGCCTCTAATAATTACTAGAGCATACAATCAGATTGGTTTTCTCAGTATCCACGTATAAGAGAGCAGATGGGGTATTTGTCATTTTATGACTGACTTTCATGTAATATAATGTTGACCAGTTCTGTTTGTTTTGCTATAAATGGTATTATTCTTTTAAGCACCATTTAATAATATTCTTTTTATGGTAGAATTACCTTTCAATGTGTATATATAGCACATTTCTTTATCCATTGATTTGTTAATGGGCATGGAGGATGATTCCATGTCTTAGCTCTTATGAATAATGCAATAATAAACATGACCATACAGTTATCTTAGACATATCTCTAAGATACAGTTATCTCTCAGATAGAGATCTCATCTCCTTTAGGTAGATACCTAGAAATGGGATAAAAAGATCATAGGGCAGATGCATTTTTTAGTGCTTTGAGGAACCTCTTTGCTGTTCTAATGGCTGTACTAATTTAGATTCCCTTGCTTACTTCTGTATAAAAAAAGTGCCATTTATTTAGAGTGCTCATATCTTTTCTTTCATTTTACTTATATTACAACCCAAATGTTAAATGATATGCAGTAATGATTCTGAAAATGGTGGAGTGGCATACTAGATAATACTGTACTAGCTCCTATAACAATGAATAGTAGCTCCCTAATAGTTCAAAGTGTTTGTTATACCTTTAAGCTATAAAGGAAGTTCTGTGTGGGAGGAAAGGAAAGTTAAAGATAGAAACACAATGGCTTTCAGTAGTGAAATTGTGCAATCTTTTTCCTTCAAAAAGATTTGCCAGGCATGGTGGTGTAGCCCTGTAGTCCTAGCCCTCAGGAAGATCACTGAGAGTTTGAATCCAACCTGAACTATGAAGTGAGACCCTTTCTCAAAAACAAAACACAACAAAACAAGGCTTTAGGAAGTCAAATATAATATACTACTTTAAAAAAAAAAACCACAAAATTTATTACTCTTTTAAGAGTAGTTAGGATTCTGAAACATACTGGTTTTGTTTAGTCTTCTTATGTCTAATATATAGTCCTGAACCTGAGGAAGAAGCAGCAAGAAGTTGGTAAAGGGATTATTTGTCTTGGTGTAAAAGAAATCTCAGAAAGACAGCTTCATCCACCTGTGTTTGCTAATGCAGCAGTGAAGCCTTATTATCACAAGTCCGCAGCATTGAAGTATTTCAAACACAATACAAGATGATGTGCTTCACACTTCAAAGCATGAGAGCTGCCACAGGTGAGGTGAGGTGAGGCAATTTAGCAAGCTATGGAGTTTTAAATATCCCTAATACTAAAGTGCTTTGGCTACAAAAATAACGTCAAAGGAACATGACATGACCTAAAATACAGGAGTTTCTTATCTAAGGAATGCATTGTGAGGGGTCCTTTCAACAAAAGCCAGCTTTGCTTATACTATATAATGTCTGAACATTGAAACATTATATCCCCTGCGGTTCACTTTCTATTTGTGGCTATGAAGTGTCCTTTCAGAGGCCCAGCCTAAGGACTGTGATTATCTTTCACAGGATGAGAGAGGAGAGAGAAAAAGACAGAGAAGCTAAGACCAAGGCATCATGATACAGATATTTTCTCTGTATTGACCACAAACGCAACAATTAGAGACAATCAATACAGAGATGTTGGCTAGGAAGGTTTTTAACATCAGTGAATAAAACTCTAAATCCCACTGCACTCATTCACCCACTCAGCCAGAAAGGTAGGCAGTGTTTGTGTACCTAGTCATCACAACACAGCGCCTAAGCAGGGAACAACCCTAGAAGCACACACCTTGCGTGCCTGAGAGAAAGTGACAAAGCAAAAACAGTTTGAGAGGCTTATGGGTGCTGGGGGTGGGAATAAAGCAGGGTGAATCTTTACGAATGCACTGTTCATAGCTATCTCAGATATGTGGTCGGATAAGGCTTCCCTTCAGAAGAGACATTTGCGTGGAGACCCAAATGATGAGAAAGATCAGCAGGCAAAATACCAAAAACATGAGAAACAGTTGTTGTGCAAGGCACACGCGAGAAAGATGGGTATCTGAACAACATGAAGGCCTCTGGGGCCAAACCATGGTGAACTTGTACAGTTAAGTCCCAGTTTGGGAGGGAATTTGTGTTATTCTAAGTCCAACTGGTACCCACTGCAAGTTCTAAAGGCAGAAGTAGGAAATGGAATGCAACTGTCATTTTAACATGCAATAGTGTACTTCGATTTTACTTCTTTGAAGCTAACTTCTAGTTCTAGCGTTGATCACAAACCTCCCCGCGTTCCTGTTTGCCCGGGCTGTTGGCGCTGCCTCCAAGAGGCTTGTGTGCCCGCCCCGCTGCTGACCCGCAGCCCGTGACAGTTGGCAGGCGCTCGGGGCGCAGTGGAGCTAAGTCTCCGTAGAGGCCGGGGCTGCGGGCGGGGAAAGGCGGCTGCGACGCCCGCGAGAGGCGAGAGGAAGGAGGAAGCGGCAGGGCAGCCTCTCCGGACCTTGTCTCGGAGGCTTGCAGGGCCTGCTGGCTGTAGCGCTGGAGCCAAGGACAGGGGCGCGAGGGCGGCGGAGCGCGCCCCTCGGCCTGGAGCCGCCCGGCCTCTGCGGAGCCCCGCCGCCGCACCCCCAGGAAACCGCAGGTGTTGCTTTAGGGCGGGGTCGGGAGGGCCTGGGCCGGGTCTCCGGGCCCGGGCCGGGTTTCGCGATCCGGGCCTGGTTTTGCGACCGCCTGGGGACCCGAGTGGTGTCGCCCGCCCCCTAGGTGTCAGCCCCCCGGGGGGCTCCTTGCGCGGGGGCACCGAAGCGCGCGCCGGGGCCTCGCGGGCAGAGGCGACTCTGCGCCGCCTTCCGCTTCTCGTCGCCCTCCGGACCAGCTACCCAAAGCGCTCTGCTGCGGGGCGCCCCGACTTGAGGCCCAACGTGGCATCGGTCTCACTGTCCAGGGTTTTCTGCGTTTACTGTCTACCTTCGAGCTGTCCGCTCCCAGTACTCTGCGGGGACACTGCGGGCCCCGCAACACCCAGGACCCAACGCCACGCAGAGGGCCGCCAGCCGCACCTCGGGCTCCGCGCCGCGGGCGGACACTTCCGGGGGCGGGGCTTGTCCTGACCCCGCCCCGATCCCACCCCCCGCCGCTCGCCGCTCCGCCTCCCTCGCCCTTTCTCCAGCGGTCGGGAAAACCCGGCGCGGCGCAACCACAGAGCGGCGGAGCGGCGCCGCCCCTCGCGCACCTCCCCGGCATCCCCGGGCGGCCGCGCTGGGCATGCTCAGTCGGCAGGGCCGCTTCAGCTCTCGGAGTAGGAAGGTTGGGCGCTCGCGCCGAGCGGAGCCGCGGCGAGGGAAGATGGAGCCCTTCACCAATGGTGAGTGGGCAGCCCGGGGCGCCGGGGCTGGGCTCCCAGGGACCCCGCGGGCTATGGCCTGTGGGACGGGCGGCTGTCGCGGGGTTCCTACAGGGCTTGGGGCGGCGGGGGGAGCCCGGGAAAGGCGCGGGGCTCCGGCGGGCGTGAAGGTCGGCGCCGCGCGGTCCCGGGCGCGGCCCGGTGAGCGCACCGCAAAGTTTGGGCCGTGGAGGGCGGCGGGAAAGTTGGCAGGCCGGGCTGGCTCGAGAAGGCGGGGTCGCGCCTGGCCGGCGGCGGCGCCCCGGGAGCTGTCCCTGCCCTTCAGCAGGTCGCGGGCTCGGCTCTTCCCGCCGCGGGTGGGGGCGCGGGGTCGGCCGCCGCCGGGGAGGGGCGGAGAGAAACTTCCAGGGGTTCGCTCGCCGGCAATGGGTCCGCCGGGGTGCGGAGCGCACCGCCACCCTCGCGTCTGCGGCGGGGCGACCGCGCTTCCTGTCCTCCGCTCCCGCGGAGATCGGTTTGTCAGTCGAGACTGCTTTAAATCACGGTGATAGCACAATGGGGAATGAGGCTAGAGCCTCCGCGGGAGCCTGCACCCTGGAAATAGCCTTTTACAGGATGAGGAGTTCATCTCACCCGAGTCAGGATGATGGCTTTTGTTTGGACCACAAGTGAGAGAGTCACCGTAGAGAAGAGACTATTACAGTCAGCGTTGCGAAATTTTTGCCGCGTTGAGAAATGGATTTCCCTCTAGGATAGAAAGTAGGAAAATTGTTAATAGGGGAGACTGCACTGGAATTGCGAGATTCACTCTGGTTGGCAGGGCTTTACCTGCAGGAGGTTGGCTACTTCAGGTAGAGGAGCCCAAAAGGAGCCAGAGTCTATCCCTGGTAGTTGCCACCCAACAGGGAAAAGTGAGATATTGCCCGCTCTGTCCCAAACCCTGCCAGACTTTGTTGTATGCTGTTTTATTCGTGGGGCTGCGAACTAATTATATTCTCCTTATCTCTCATTCCGAATGCTTTATTCTGTTGCCATCTTTCTGTACCGTCGAATCAGGCTTAATGATGACGACTTTGTGAATACTCTGTTCTGTTTGAGTTCTGTTTGTAATTACCGAGCTCTCAGAAGAGTCTGGTAAAGTTACTCAGAATTAAGGAATATTTGATCTGCAAGGAACCATAGACAGATCATCTACTACTTGACTGTAAAACATATTCAATCCAGATTGTTAAAGCCTTGCCAATAAATATTCTGTTGCCTTATTCTTTGTTCTAGGCAGAATAATTATTCTAGGCAGAATAATTTGGAGCGTCACTGTTCATAGTACTTTAAATGTGAAATTTCACCAAGAATAATTGTCTTCACAAGGTTGAGTCACTTCTTTGGTCCATTAGTGCTAGTTGATTTGCTGAACCTTCACTTACACAATTAAAATACATTCCCAAGTCTTAAAATTAGTCTTTTCTCTCTTCACAGAATATCCTTCCCTACCTGTGAATATTTGCATATTGTGACATTTAGGAGGACAGTGGAAAATCCCAGAGAACAATAAAAACAACCAAAAGTAGTACTTTAACTTTCCTGTTGGAAATTGGATTTCTAATCCTTTCCTGTCTTGCAGATTTTCAGAGTTGATGCTGCAGACAGATTGACAGTGTATCATTTTGGTTAATATAGCAGTCATCTCTTGCATAGGGAACAACCTTTAACAGGCAAAATAGAAACTAACATCTGAAGTCAACAAGAGATTAGATGTTGGCCTTTTGAGGTGCTTTTCAGATTTAAAGTGGAGGAGGCGTTTACTAGTGTCTGTAAACATAACAAGTTCACTACGAAGTATGTTTCTCTTTTTGCTGAATCCATTGGGTGCAAAAACGTGCACATACAGCTTTCCTGTATTTTGTTGAGTATTTTATTACTTTAAAATTTATTGTAGTGTATATCAAACTTGTTATTGGCTCTTTCCCACTTAGCACTTCTTGTATATTCCTGTTTATAGTGATGTGAGTGTTTTACAAAAATAATTCTAATACTTTAGAACCATATTTCTTTCAGTTAAAAATCGTGTCAGTTGTTTCAACCTCTGACCTGTGAATTTATTCAGGAAGTGAATTTAGTTTCTGTCTTGTCATTCCAGTGTTCAGTACTCATATACACCATTAGGGCTTTCTGTAGCTTCCCTATTTTATGTCAACTATTGCTGCTGTTAAGGCCCATTTTCTGAAGCCCTGTTCTCTGCTTGCAGATGACCATAGGTTCCTTTCCTGGACATCTGTGTTAACCTGTCCAGGTGACGTGCTGCTGCAACTAATTTAAAATGCATGTCTAAAGAAAAGGCTGATAAGGATGGACCTGTGTGCCAGGAATTCCTGTATGGCCTGGGAGATATTTTTGGCCTTGCCCTTGGGAGGAACTGCTGACTATTATGAAGGCTGGGTATGTGTTCTGGCTTTGGATCTCTGGTGACTTTTATTGCGCGAGAGATGGATTAGACAAGCACTGAAGATTGGTTTGATAATAATTGCTGTCCTGTTAGGCAGAAATAAATTAATCTTTTAGGAAGTAATGAGTTATATGTTTACTACAACAACAAATGATGGCAACAGTTTCTTTTGATACAGACACTAGATTAAGGAAAATAATTATTTGCTATCTGTCTAACTTTGTCCTCATTTGCATGCAGGACAAATATTTCCTGTTGGGATATTTCAGAATAAATTAAATTGAGATTAAAAATGCTAAGGCGAGAATCTAATTGAGAAGGTCTGTGATTGGCCCCAGAAATCTGGAACTTCTGAGATACTAGAAGAGTTCACTAGAAATTTTGGAACTTTATGAACTAAGTTTAGGACTTGGAAACCTGCTGATTAATCCGTTTCCTGCTGTGTGGAGTTATTGTTATAGGATGTTTTGTTTCTACTTTCTAGTTTGTGGTGTGATCTGAAATAAATCTACAGGTTGTTGGAAAGCATTGGTATTTTGAAGACCCAGAAATAAAAACATAGTTCGATCATTTTGTTTCTTTTCTTTTTAATAAGGACTTAGCCATCATGAATACTATATTACTATAGGCTAGGGCAGAATCAAACAAGGGGAACTTTCTTGTTGCATGAAACTGCTTCTATGACAGATTTTTTTTTTTTTTTTTTTTTTTGTGAACTTTTTCATTTTCAGATTGGTATCCAGTTGAAAGTATTTTCCAATTTCCACAATGGAAAGTCTTGGCTACCAGTTACATACTTGTGGGTTGAAGAGAAGCATACAATTGTGATTCATCTTTTTATCTCAAAAATAATAATTGTTCTGTAGGTATGTGTGTTTTTCTAAACATGTTTTTAGTGTCATTTCTCAAAAATGTAAGGTTATCACAATTTGTTCATTCAGATACAGATGTAGATGTAGTTCTGTGATAAATTATTGTCCTGAGAATAGACCCTATGAAATGCAGCATGGTAGTTTCTCTTAATGGTAGGACATGTTTGGAGGAATAGGACTATGTAAAAATTGACGGTTAGCATTGTTAATAGTCTCAGGCCGAGCTGTTGATTAAAAAACACCCAAATTGTTATCACTTGCATGTTTCCAAGAGTGTCTTGAGACATGATAAAAATAGCATATGTTAGAAATGGTTTGTAATCAGTGGTTATCATTGATCTGCGTATGATCTTTGAGAACTCAGTCTTAAAAAATTAGAGGGCCTGGGAGATAGCTCAGTGGCAAACACAAGGGCTTGAATTCTATCCCTGGTACTACTACTACTACTACTACTACTACTACTAATTAGATTGGTTATAAGGAAATTATTTCATGGAATATAAATAAAGGCTGGTTTTCTCAGTAGGTCACCTTCCTTTGAATGCTCATTTACAAGCAGATTTTCTGCTAGTCATATAGTTTGGAGAAACAAACATAAAACCTACCATCGAATAGTGGCTGACCTAAGTAAGAGACACAAATTGGAAGAGTTTAGTTTTGTTTTCATACTAGTATGAAGATGTAAAAATAAAACAGCAGTGCAGCTTTAACCAAGACAGCATTTTAGTTATGAAGGACATGTACAGATCTATCCATATAACCTGTTCATATAACTGTGTCACCAGCAGGCTCACACCTCTGCTGATTCAATGTAGTGTCTCTATTAGCACATAGCAGAATTGTTAACTTCTTTGTGACTACATTAAGGAATTTAGATATGAAAGAATTTAAGCAAGGTTGCCCCAGATTATGGGTTATGGGATGAACTGAAATTAGGCCTTTCATTCTTGGCAGTTGAGGTGAGCAACAGTGTGTGTTCACTT